TTGGTCAAATTTTTTATTTTCTTGGCAAAAAATCAATTATTTTAAATTCTTTATAAGAATGTATAATTTACTTTTGGAAAATTTGAATGTTTAAAAATGAATTTATTAAGAAATTTTAAAGAACTTAGTTTTTTTGAAAAAGTTTGATAATTCAAATTCTTTTGAATCTAGTTGAATGTTTTAATATAATATTTAATTAATTATTAAAAATAATGGATTTATAGAATAATTTTTGATAAAAACTCTAAAAAAATGAATTTTAGAGAAGTTACAGATACCTAATAGAAATTTTTTGAAATAATTGAATTTTGAAATGGTTTCAAACTCAAATCTTTGAAAATTTTCAAATCAAATTTTTGATTTTCTTTTATACTTTTAATTCCCAATTCTGTAGAACTAATTTTTTTGAAAAATTTTAATTCCAGTTCTGTTGAAATTATTTAAAATTTTTATTTTCTAAAATATGTTTTCCGAATTTTTTATTAAACGAAAAATTTAATAAAATTGAATTGTAAAACAAACGGATTTAAAAATTATTATCTTATTATTTGACTTTTAAAAATGAATACATAACAACCTATTAAAATATTTACTAATTGAAAAGTGTTTCATTAAAATCAATATGGATTTATTAAGAGTAACAGTTTAATTAAAAACGAGCGAAATTTTAAATTCGTTACGTTGCCACAGATTGGAAGCGTGTCAGATTGTATTATAAAATGCGTATATTTATAATATAGTGAAAAGGCTTTAGGCATTTTTGTTAGGTCAGTTGCAAATATGTATATATATATATACATTTATTGCATTCGTCCATTTCTTTTATAACTTATTTGTTAACAATTGAAAAAATATGAAATTTTTCCCATAGTGACTCTCGTCGTTGATTTAAATCTTTACACATCACGGTAATGGAATATACTAAGCTAAGGCACATTGTATACGAGTTTGCCTCGAGAATTCAATAAATTTCTGTCGATGAATCTAACGGTCCAACATTCCCCACTATTATATAAACGTCCTGTGTACATTTCAATGGAAAATTCAAACTTCCCTCCTATTTTCTGCTTTCCCAGTTGATTAAATTTACGCCTTTTTTTGACATATCGTTTTATTAAATTTTTTATTTTCAAAATACCAAGTTTTTTTCAATTCAAAAGAAAGCGGAGAATTTATTTGATTTTCATTCGATGTCTTTTGGCTTTATTCGATTTATTTCAATTTTTCATATCAGGTTATTGATTGAAATAATAAAATAATTTTAATTTAGTTGACACTAAACTAATTCATTGTTTATGTTGACTAAATTAACTTTTATTGAGTAATTCATATTGCTTTTATTTTTAATTATTATAAGAATAAAAAATATTTGAAGTTACTATAGAAAGTACTGTGAAGAAAATTTATTTTTGGGGAAAATAATTGTTTTATTATGTATAAAGCGGATCAAACGAAGAGAAAATTTCGAAATTACGTGACTAATTGAAAGTATGGAGGAATTCTTCTAGCGGCGTTTTTGGAAAATTAGGTCTTAATTCGTGAGAGCACGATCATGTGGGTCTGGTTTTATAACTATGGAAGAACAGACTTTTTCCACCTGCAATTTTTTGTTGAAAGGATTATAGCACATTCTAAAGTGCGTGGGATTTCTCCTTTTTCTGTCTTCAAAATCTGACAATAATTGTAGCTTTGATGCATTTAGTATAATATAAATTGATATAACATGCTTTAATGAGTTTAAATTAAAAATTTAAAGAAAAAATTGTTTCTCCAATTTTTGGAATTCTAAATTTAGAAAAAATTCTAAATGTCAGTATTTGACTTATAATTGTAAAGGAAAGAACTTGTATTGATGATTCGCGAGGAGTAAGAGAGAGAGAGAGGGATTGTAATAAATAGACAAATATAAAATGTAATGAAACACCTGCAGTCTCGTCGAAATCCATTTGATGAATTCTCATAAAGAAGTTCTATACTAAGGCAATCTTCGCTGGTCGGCGCTATTACTTTTCTTTCGTGATGTCGAAATAAATCGAAAAGGAAAGCGGCGTGTTAAAGCTTTTTTCTTCAAGACTCTCGGAACAAATAAAAACGACACTGAAACTTGCCTTATGTTCTTTAACACAATTTGAAAACTTCCCATCCAAATAAAATCAATACTTGTACATTGAACATTACCATTTATATTATACAACTTTTCCTAATTGATTTCTTTTATATTCGAATCGAAAATTATTCAACAATAATGTATTCAATATTTGGATTCTTTATTAGTTATACATTAGTGGTCGTTCATATATTTTGTAACACTTCAAGAGGGACGGGGGCACTCTCTAAATCTGAATTAGTAGTTTTCTACTAATGAAATAGTGCGGATTCGTTTACCAATTGAATTAGTAACAAACTGTTTTTACTAATTTTTAGTAGTTTTTTAAGTAATTATTAGTAGAAAATTTACTAATTTGAAATAGTAAAAAATACGTTCTAGTAATTGAATTAGTAATTTTCTACTAGCAATTAGTAAAAAACTACTAAAAATTAGTAAAAATTGTTACTAATTCAAATTGGTAAACGAATCCGCACTAATTCAGATTTAGAGAGCAAGCAATCTATATTAATAATCGTTGTATTCCGGTATAATCTGTTCGCAGTTTGAAGTAAGTTATTATTTGCTTTTTTGTTTCCTAACTTTTTCAATAAGTTTTCTTTTTAATAGTATATTAAGCAACAAGGTACGTAAAGGCAGCCATTTATTTACGGTGATTTTTGTGACACTCGTTACGGTCTCGAGGCGCCCTCGACCTCCACTCGTGTCACAAAAATCATCGTAAATAAATGGCTGCCTTTATTCTCGTGTTACTTACGATATTTTTTATTCCTAATGCACAAAAGCGGCGATTTCAGATAGCAGACGACAGGGAGTAAAAGTCATTCACTTGTTCGACTTGTATGAAAATGGCGGCCTTTTGAATTTCATCGAAGAATTTTAGTAAAATTTTTGAAAATTCAATTCTTTTGATGAATTTCTTTGAATTTTTTTAAAACAATGGATGAGTTTCAATAATAATTTTAATTAGAAATCGTGTTTCTTAATAATTGAAATTAAACATTTAATTATTGAATTCTATTAAAACTTTTGAAAAATAATTAAATTTTTCTTAGAATTTTATCACAATTTTCTAAAATAATTTTATTCATTCAAGGAATTTTATTAAAATATAGAAAATAATTAAATTCTTTCAAAAAATTTTTTTAATTTATTGAATATAATCGATTTTGTTATAAATTGCAATTAATAATTTCACTATTAAAATTATTGATAAAAACTTAAACTATTTTAAACAATTTTATTAAAGTTTTTGTAAATAATAATTAAATTCTTTTGAAGAATTTTTAAAAGTTTTTTTGAAATTAGTACAGTTTTTTGAATAATTTTAATTGAAAATTTTGAAAATTATTGAATTAAACAAAGAATCTTTTTCAACTTTTTAAAATAATCGTGTCTTTTAATAATTATAGTTAAATATTTGATTATTGAAGTTTATTAAAATTGTATTAAAAATAATTGAATTCCTGAGAAGAATTTTATTATTTATAAAAAAAAATTTAATTCTTGCAAAGAATTTTATTATTTATAAAAATAATTGAATTGTTTCGAAGGATTTATTATAATTTTAGAAAATAATTGAATTCTTTTGAAAATTTTTAATAAGCAAATTTAAGAAAAAAAAAACTGAATTCTTTCGGGAAATTTTATTGGAAATAATTGAATTGTTTTGAAAATTCAATTATAAAAATATAAAAATAAAAGAAAAAATAAAATTATAAAAATTTGAGAAAATAATTGAGCTCTTTCGGGAATTTTTAAAGCGAATTAAGAAGAAAATTGAATTCTTTCGTGAAATTTTTTAAAAATTTTGTTGAAATAATTGATTGTTTGCATACAAATTTAATATTTATAAAAATAATTGAATTTTTCCGAAGAATATTATTATTAGTGAAAATAACTGAATTCTTACCAAGAAATTAAAAGTTTTGAAAATATAAACAATAATAATTAATTGTGTACTTAATAAATGAATTTTTTAAATTTTGACTAAGAAATTATTCAAAAATTTGTATTTGGAAATAAAATTCATTAATAAGCTGCAGAAAAGTTTTAAAAAAGTTAAATATTTAAAATATTTGTCAACAATTTGTATTTATGAAAATAGTACAACACGCACGTATTGTGGTGCACAAATAATATGCGGGAGGGTTGCACGTGGATCATATTAGAATATACAATCCCGCCTTTGTCGCGATATAAGCGTTTAAATCCTGTCAGGTTGTCCCTCGGGCTTGAGTAAGCCTTTCGAAAATCTTATGGTAATGTCACTTATGTTCGCTATAATTCTCATTTCTCCCGCTCTATAGCAACCACCGTTTTCATTAATAATACTGTTACGACGATGAGTTGCGGTTTTAGGAATCTGCCACCGCTCGATTAGAACTTAAGCTAATCGATGGAGGCACTGTTTCTCATTAAGCTATTACCATTAGGCAGATTTTACTCATCTAGATAATAATAATAATACTCCGAAGTGATTATTAGCCAGTTTGTAAATCGTAACTGCTATTAAAATAACTTATTTGCAAACTTAATGACACAAATTTGCATTGGGTACAAATATCACACATACTAAATTTGGAGGTTCGACACTTTTTTAATACGCTGAGCGCACACAGTTTTTCGAAGGATATCAAATTGAGACAGAAAACGTATCAAAACGTTGCTTCGCAACATTTTTGATACGTTTTTTGTCTCAATTTAATATTCTTAGAAACGTGTTTTTACTCCCTATAGGTGGAAAAAAAGAAGTGAATTTAGTAACATTTTCGTCTCTGAAAGCCTCAAATATTAGTTTGATACGCTGAGCGTAGAGGTTAATTTCAGGGACATAATATTTTTATAATTTTTTAATTATTATAAATTAATTTAAAAAATTGTTTTTTTTTAGATTCCACTCGGATTCAGAACACTGCAATGAACTATACAACACTTAAATAGCGGGAACCACGACTATTGGTGAGTTTTTTCATAAAGTAATTATATTTAAAATTTCATACCATATTTTAATTTAATTACCTTGAAGTACTTGCGGTAAAATTTGCATTGTCCGGATCGAAAACAAATGAATTTTAAATCTTAACAATGAAGCTTCTTATAAGAAAGAAAATACCTACAGATTAGCTCAGTCGGATAGATGCCTCGCTTGGCGGTCGTTTAAGAACCAAGGGTAAGTACCCTTGGTTCGCGCCCATTTGGCTTTGGTATTTGGTATTTTTCCGGCACGTGAAAAACATTGTCGATTATTGTCCGGTACACACCATTAGAACTCGACTGTCGATAAACTGGTTGTACTCAGGAGATGTTTTCTACAGTTTCCCTCTCCACTGGCGAGAAAACCCATTAGACGGGTGGTCCAGGCAAATGCGAGTACTCCTAATCTTCAAGTCGCTCTGTAGGCGCAAAACTTAGTATTAGGAAAATGTATATAAGAAATATTATGTAAGAGAAAATGTAAACACACTTGTATAGCTAGATAAGCTTAAGACGGGTGTATAAACCAAATATAAGAAAGAAAATAAGGATTCTTCTTTATATGAATAAAAATATTCATTTTGTGACTAAACTAGAGATCGTAACCTATGGTTTTTGTATTCTACTGAAAATAAGGTATCCTTATGTGTAACACTTTATTTTTTGCGAAAGATATACAGAAACGGGTGGAATATAGGCTCTTGGAGATGATGTATTTTGGTATTCCAGTGATGCCTTCGGTAGCATTGCATCACGTATGGAGTACGCAGACTATAACATAGGCTGCATCGAAGCTATGGATATCGCTTAAATCCGTTCAGAAATGCAGATCTATTGCGATTCCTATCACTGATTGCCAACCGAGAACATATTACCAGTGTCCTCTTCCAATTCTCGTAATAATTCTCTCATTCACGTTAATTTGTCGAATACTGTGTAAAAAAAAATCCCTTTTATTTCTATTCTGGACAAGTTCCACATTTTTTGTTATTAGTAAAAGTAAACAGGCTTCACAGTGTTTCCCCTATTCCCCTTTTTTCCCTCTATTTCAAAAAAATTCCCCTTTTTTATCAATATATTTACCCTTTTTCCCCTATTTTTTTACTCCTTTCCCCTATTTTGTGTTGTACACCAAGAGAACAATTTTTTTTTATATCAAATATATTTTATTTGAGTTAAATAAACGTAGATTTGACTCCGAGCCAACTAGGTTATTTATTTGTTTCAAAGGCAAATTTTATTGAACATAAATAAAACTTTTATTTAAACAAAATAAAGTTTATTTGCAACAAATAAAAAGTGTAGTTGAAATTTTACTATTTTGAATATTGATATTTTCAATGTCGATAATTTATTAATTTAGAAATTTTAATTAAAATCTTAATTAAGTAAAGCTATAAAACAATATTACATTTCTCAAAATGGTATCCGACCATTCACCAGAATTTACCCAAACATATTTTTCACCGAATAAAAATTCCCCCGAATACAATTTTATTGAATGCATTTTGACCGAAAGTACATCAAAACAGCATAAAATTAATTTTCAAACATAAAAAAATTGTGTTTAAAAAGTGCTAAAGCACAACAAAAATTCAATTTATTTCAAAAAACAATTTTTTGTTCTAAAATTTTAAAACAACTTCTTTCGGAAAAATTTATTTGGAGACATGGCTAAAATGTTTTTTTTCGGAGATATGAATTCGGGAGAAGTGCATTTTTGGTAAAACAGTACCTATTCGGGAAAATAATTTTCGGTAATTTTAATATTAGAGATTAAAATATTTAGATTTGCTATGAAAGTAATTAATTAAGAAATATTCTAAAACGAAAATTCAAGGTTGTGGAGTCAGTTATAGAATCGAAGAAATCAAAAGAAATAAATAAAATGTCTGTTTTCTTTTTAATTAAAATTTTTTTTAATTAGAAGACAAAATCAAAGTATCGCACAATTTAGGAATGATATAATGTGATAAACTTTATAAATTAATGTTTAATAAATGTTCTAAACTAAATCAACTTTAGATTATAGCAATTTTTAAAGCAGTTTTATAAAATAAGAGTCCAAATTTAACTAAAAAATATGTTTAGATTTTCCCCTTTCCCCCCAATATTTTGAATAAAAAATTCCCTTATTCCCCTTTTTTGAACTTATTTTGCGCTGTGAAGCCTGAGTAAATGATAAACAAAAAACTTGAAACTAAATACTAAACTGAAAACATGAAACTAAAAGCTGCTAAAAATCATGTTTTTTTTATTTAAACCGTATTTCTTTATTTGAATAAAATAAATGTTTTCCATTTTTTAAATTATTTATTTTAAATAATTTAATTCATTAAAAAGTATCATAAAGTAATTACTTCTAAATTATTTATTGAATAATTCTACTTGAAAATTTCAATAATAAGTAAATTTTATAAGAGTTCATAAATTTCATTGTAGAATTTCAGTTATTTAGAATTTTTCCCATGAGTTCAATTATTTTCAATACCATTTTTCAAAAGAATTCAATTATTTTTAAATTCTTTGCAAAAATTCAATTATTTTCAATACAATTTTTATAAAATATCTGAATTATAAAATTCTTAAAAGTTTTTATAAATTTATTTGCAGAATTTCAATTATTTTGTAAAATATCGTGATAAATAATAAATTTGTTCTTTTACTGGTGTCAATTCTTTCACTGATGCAACTACCCCATGTACCTATTTAATAAATTATTAAAAATAATGGATTTATAGAAGAATTTTAGTTAGGAACACTAAAAAAGAATTGAATTTTAGAGATTTTACAAATAATAGCAAATTTTAAGAAATAATTAAATTTTGAAATGCGGTTTCAAACTCAAATCTTTGAAAATCTGTATTTTTTAATACTTAAAAATCCTAGAAAATAATAATTGCGAAATTGAAATGATAAAAATACTTTTGAAGATGTGACAGTAGGTAACAATATTCAATTTTTGAAAATCTTAATTCCTATGGAAAAAATAATAATGATTAAATATTTATTTTGTAAATAAAAAATATCCCACACGGATTTTTGCGAAGTTTCAATAGATATTCTTGTTGAAATTTTCAAGTGATATTTCGTGTTTTTTTTATCAAATGTATTATTTAAGTGGAAAAATCTGATTCGGTCAGACTACACTTCAATGCTTGTCTCCGAGGAAATTATTTGATGTCATTTTAAAAATTTTTTTAGCTCTGTCCCTTTTTTTATTAATGATTTTCTTGTTTTTAATTACTTTCTGGTAAATTGATGATTTTGAAGAAATCAGGTTAGAGAGAAAAGAAAAATACCTATTCTAGACAAATGTTTTTGGGGAATTAACATAAAATGAAGAAAACTATTTATAAGACTGAAGAAATACAATTTGAATTGTGTTTCGGTTTATTACTTTTCTTCCGTGATGTCAAACCAATGAAATTCCGACACACCATTCTAGGTTTCCGTAACGCGATTCCTATACATAAAAGTGGCAAGCATCCAATGTTGGATGCCTACTATACCTGGACCTCACACTATTCCTGTTCGATATATATCTGGCGTCCTGTCCAGTGAGCCGGGTGACAGCTAATATCCGTCCAGGAAACTAACACCCCGACACACCCCTCGCAACCAACGACTAAAGTCTATTACGACAAGACTCGGATGATTTTTTATCAAAATTACTCGCTGATGAATCTTCAGAAACGTCGCAGAGGTTAGGCCTTCACTTTGCCTTCTTTAATCGTCTTTCCAATTTTTAACAGTGGCTTCAGGTCTCGGATAATAATTACTTTTTTGGCTATTTTCGAAAAATGTCACTATTTCGATTTTTCTTTTGCTCGTTGCAAAAAAATTCCACTTTTTGGTGCTTTATCACATTCTTTTTAAACTTAAAAACTAAACATTTATTTCAAATATAAATACACGGTGCCACAGATCAGGGAATTCACAGACGAAATGGTTCAAAGGTTTCACGACGAATTTTAGACTGATGATACTGGAACTGGGCTGTTACAAAGCTTCCACAAAACAGGGTGATTTGTATAACCACCAGAATTCCATTTTTAGAGCAGCACCCCATTATTTTAAGAAGACGGTTAAATTTCGTAGAAATAAGTGAATCGAAGATTCGCAGGTTAGCCCTCAGAGCTAGTGTTGCCGCAAGACGAGACAAGACGAGATTCTTTTCAATCTCGTCTCGTCTTGAAATGTCAAGACCAACAAAGAGTCTTGTCTCGAAAAAGTCTCGTCTTGAGACATAGAATCTCGTCTCGTCTTGAAGTCTCGATATTTTTTCAATTAATAAGGCTACTACAGGTTCGGAAAACAGGAAATTTAATAAAAAATTAGGAAAACAAAAATTTTTCAAGAAAATCAGAGAATTTTATCAAAAATACTGGAATAAGTATTAATTTTCTAGAATTGAAGAAAAAGTTTAATTTTTTGTGTCCAGCAATCTTTGAAGATATTAAAAACATTTAATTATTTTTAAATTTTCCATGTTCTGGTTATAAACTTTAAAATCAACCACAAATATTAATGCTAAACTTTAAATTTTTTCCATTTCTAAAAATAAAATTGATCTTTACAGAATCTGAAATTGAATTTATTTTAAATAAGTTAAATCTTAGAAAAGTTTCATAACATTGTTATTTATAAAATATTCAGAGAATAATTTTACTTGAAAATTGAAAAATTATTGGATTTTAGAATAGTAGAATCGAGGGGGTAATTACTGGTTAAAATGGTGTACACTCTAATACACTAAATTTTCCTGCTATTACGCGTATTATCTAGATTTATTGGGTATTACAGAACTATTACAGGGTATTACTGATTATTACAGAATATTACCTCTATATTATGTATGGTATTACACTGCCGTAATAGTGCTCTGTTGCACTCTATTACGTGACTATTACGGGAAGAGCGTACACGCAAGTACACAAGTAAATACCCTCTCGAGTTGAATTTACATTCAATTTGTATAAATT